AGATCATGTCACTTTCCTGCTCAAAATCTCCCAAAGGCTTTTCCTTTCTCTCAAAGTAAAATCCAAAGTATTTCTCTGGCTTTCAGACCTAATAGGACCCAAGCACTCCCTTAACTCTTTGACCCTACCTCCTACTACTCATCTTCTCGTTTACTCCTCTCCATCACTCCAGGTATTTTACTATTCTTTGAACATTTCATGCATGATTCCGTCTCAGGGACTTTGCACTTGCTGTTCTCCCTGCCTAGATCATTCTTTCCCCAGGTATCTATATTGCTTGCTTCTTTGCTTTTTTTCAGGTCTTTACTCAAACATCCCCCTTTCAGTGATAGATTTCCTGACTACCCTATTCAAAAATGCAAGTCCCCACTCCTCCCCATCGAAACTATCCCCTCTTCCTTTTTCCTCTCAACAAGCAATTATAATCTAATGTATTATATATTTACTTATTTTATTGTCTTTCTTCCTCCATTAGAATGCAAGTTCTAAAAGGCAGGAATTTGTGTCTGTTTTGTTCACTGCCAGACCTTTAGCACCCAGAACTATGCCAGACATACAGCTGTCCAATAAACATTTGCTGAATGAAGAAATATGAGAATGAATTCTCTAAAAAATCCCTTACAGTTTTCAACATGAAGGCAGTTCAAAGGGTAAAGAGCATAAAGAGTACTATTTTAGAAGATATCTAGATTCCTATCCCCACTTCATCACTTACTAGCCTTGCAACTTTGAGCAAGTCACTGAACCTATGTAGGTCCCAGGTGGTGAATTACTTCAAATGATGGTATATTAACTTCTTAATAAACATGGGAAATCATATTAGACTCCACACTACTCCCAGCTCCCATCCCCATAGCCATCAGGGCCTAGTCTACCTTTCTATAACTTCACTCTGTATCTCTAGTCCTTCCTATGATTTTTGACCAAGACTTTTCTTTTAACTAACTATTTTGTACATGTAAGCACTATGCTAAGCACTTATAAATTTACACATTTGATTCAGAAAATAACCCTATATAGTAGGATTATTTCCCATATGTTTTCCCTACCCTAAAATTCTACTTTTCTAGAATAATAGCTCTAAAATGCACAGCAGACCAGGTCATTTTCCCTGCTTAAAATCCTTCAGGGTTCTCCATCACCAACAAGGCCTTTCACTATCTTTTCAGCCTGACTTTCCACCACTCGCTGAGATGCTACCTGCTACTTCTAATTGCCTGAATATTTGTCCTGAGTGACTAGTACAAAGAAGTAATTAGGGGCTTAATAATCTTTTTCAAATGAATGCTTTCCAGTTCTAACACATTTGAACCCATGAAATTCATGTAAGATTTACATTTTTAAAATGCTTATTCCTCAAATATAATTTATAAAACACGCAAAGTTTTTCAAGTCTAGAAAAGTTTTTCTAACTTTATAATAAAAATAAAACCTATTGCATGCTTGTTGTATATTTCAGGCACTCATTTGGTAGTTGCATTTACATAATTTTCTCAGTTAATCTTTGGAACCATTTCATGGTTAGGGGAAAAAAGTTCAGATGCTTACTACAAAGCTATGGTAATCAAAATATTGTGGTATTGATATAAAGACAGATATATAAACCAATGGAATAGAACAGGGAGTCCAGAAATAAACTCCAGCATATATGGTCAAATGATTTTCAACAAAGGTACTAAGTCCATTGAATGGGGAAAGGACAGAAGTTTCAACAAAGAGTGCTAAGAAAACTGGATATTCACATGCAAAAGAATAAAGTTGGACCCTTACCTTAAACCATATATAAAAATTAACTCAAAATGGATCAAGACTTAAATGTAAGACCTAAATCTATAAAACCCTTGGAAGAAAACATAAGAGAAAAGCTTTATGACATTGGATTTGGCAATGACTTCTTGGATATAACACAAAATGCACAGGCAACAAAAGAAGAAAAACAAAATAAAAAACTTCTGTGCATCAAAGGACAAAATCAATAAAGTGAATAGGTAACTCATAGAATGGGAGAAAATATTTTCAAATCACATATCTGATAAGAGGTTAATATCTAGAATATATAAAGAACTCCTACAACTCAACAACAACAAAAACAAACAACCCCGGGGGCCAGCCCCATGGTCGAGTGGTTAAGTTCGCACACTCTGGTTCGGTGGTCCAGAGTTTCGCCAGTTCGGATCCTGGGCACGGACGTGGCACCACTCATCAAGCCATGCTGAGGCGGTATCCCATGTACCACAACAAGAAGGACCCACAACTAAAAATACACAACTATGTACTGGGGGGCTTTGGGGAGAAAAAGGAAAAATAAAATCTTAAAACCCTTAAAAAATCTTAAAAAACAAAAACAACCTGGTTCAAAAATGGGCAAAGGGGTTGAATATACATTTCTCCAAAGAAGATACAGAAATGCCAATAAGCACATGAAAAGATACTCAAATTCACTAACTATTATAGAAATGCAAATAAAAACGACAATAAGATACCACCTCACTCCCATTAGGATGGCTACTATCAAAAACCAGAAAATAACAAGTGTTGGTGAGTATGTGGAGAGATTAGAACCATTTCGCACTATTGGTGGAAATGTAAAATGGTGCAGCCACTATGGAAAACAGTATGCTTAGTTCTTCAAAAAATTAAAAATTGAATTACCATATGAGCTGGCAATTCCACTTCTGGGTATATCCCCAAAAGAAGTGAAAGCAGGATCTCAAAGAGATTTATTTGTATACTCATGTTCATAGCAGTATTACTCACAATAGCCAAGAAGTGATAGCAACACAAGTGTCCACTGACAAATGAGTGAATAAAAATTATGTGCTAAATACATACAATGGAATACTATTCAGCCTTAAAAAAGAAGGAAATTTTGACACATACTACAACATGGATGAACCTTGAGGACATTATGTGAAGTGAAATAAACCAGTCACAAAAGGAAAAATACTGTATGATTCCACATATATGAGGTACCTAAAGTAGTCAAATTCACTGAGACAGTAAGTAGAATGCTGGTTGCCAGTGGCTAAGAAGAAGGAGTGGGGGGGCATGGGGAGTTATTGTTTAACGAGTACAGCTTCAGTTTTGCAAGGTGAAAAGAATTCTGGAGATGGATGGTGGTGATGGTTGCACAACAATGTGAATCTACTTAATGTCACTGAACTGCAGCATATCTAAAAATGGTTAAGATGATAAATTTTATGGTACGTGTATTTTACCACAATTAAAAAATATATACTGTTACAGGGGCTGGCCCGGTAATGCAGCGGTTAAGTATGCATGTTCTGCTTTGGCAGCCCGGGGTTCACCAGTTTGGATCCCGGGTGCAGACATGGCATCGCTTGGCAAGCCACGTTGTGGTAGACATCCCACGTATAAAGTAGAAGAAGATGAGCACAGATGTTAGCTCAGGGCCAGTCTTCCTCAGCAAAAAGAGGAGGATTGGCAGCAGATGTTAGCTCATGGCTAATCTTCCTCAAAAAATAAATAAATAAAATCTGATAAAATAAAATTTAAAATATATATATATACTGTTATGAGAATAAGATAAGCCACAGACTGGGAGAAAATATTTGTAAAATCATATATCTGATAAGGACTTGTGTCCACAATATAGAAAGAAATCTCGAAACGCAGTAATGGAAAACAACCAACATACTCAAAGAATGGGCAAAAGATCTGAACAGACAGTTCACCAAAAGAGATATTCAGATAGCAAAGTAGCATGTGAAAAGGTGTTCAACATCATTATTCATAAGGGAAATGCAAATTAAAACTCCAAATTAAAATCCCACCACACACCTATTAGAATGGCTAAAATTAAAAGAACCAAGCATACCAAGTTTTGGCAAAGATGCAGCAGGAATACAAAATGGCACTACCACATTGGAAAACAGTTTGTCAATTTCTTAACAAACGAAATATATACATACCATTTGATCCAGCCATTCTACTCCTACATATTTAACCAAGAGAAATGTAAGCATATGTCCATAAAAAACTTGTACATGAATGTTTATAGCAGTTTTATTTGCAATAGCCAAAAACTTTACAACCCAAATGACCATAAACAGGTCAATGGATAAACAAACTACAGTATACCTGTACAACAGACCACTACTCAGCAGTAAAAAAAAAAAAAAAGTACTGATATGCAGAATAATATGAATGAATCTCAAAACAATTAGGGTAATTGAAAGAAGCCAGGTCCCAAAAAAAGTACATGCTGTATTATCCCATTTATAAAATTTCAGTGACCCATTCATACTGACAAAAAGCAAGGCAGTGGTTTCCTGGGACAAGAGATGGAAAGACAGCAAGGAGCAGGAGGGAGGGATTACAATGAGTATGAGGAAACTTCGAGGGGTCATGGATATGTGCATTATTTTGATTGTGGTGATGGTTTTACAGGTATATATATATGTCAAACTTATAAAACTGTATATTTTGACTATGTGAAATTTATTGTATGTCAATTAATTATACCTTAATAAAGCTGTTAAAAAATAATAAATAAAATGATCTCTGTCCCCAAGGAAATAAGAAGCTACTGCATAAATTTATCCTATAGAACTGAATATATTTTGATAAGCAGAGAAAGGAAAATCAGAAAAAGTGGACATATATGAAAAGGCTAACAATATCTCTTGACATCTATTAAATAATTTCCTTAAAGATGTAACTTTTTATTAAGTACATTATTACTTCAATTTAATATTTCGCTTATGAAATGCACTCACAAGGCTCAAAACTGAAAAAAAACAAAAGTAAACCACCTCATCCACCAATCCACCACATTACCAGTGTTGTTTCATACAATTAAAATATAATTTAAGACTAACAATTAACTGTAGAAAAATTCCAGAACATAGTGATAATTTTTAAATTACTCAAAAGATACAAAGATTTACATAAAGTAGTTTACATGGCTACTAAGTTAAAATACTCAAAAAACAATTTTGAAGGAAAAAACTCTTCACATGATGAATAAAAATACATACCTGAAGCAAACCATATTTAGTTTCTACATCATAAAGTTTATAATCCTTAATGTCTGGAGATACAGGGGAAGGCAGATTTTCCCAGTTACCTAAAACATTGGCTAAACTGGCAAAAACTGGTTCCGTACAAAATGCCAAGCAATCCCTGTTTTAAAAAAGAAAGAGAGTTATTTACCATTTTTTCCACATTCTCAAAATCAAATACACATAAAAGATTAGTGGTCCTATTAAACTACCAACAAAAAGGTAGACTATTTTAGATTTATTTTCAGTATTAACATAACATGCTTATCCCAAGAGAGCAAAGTCGGGAAGCTTTGTATATGAATTATACTAGATAAATCACTCAGTCTTTTAAACTAAGTGTCCTAACAGTTGTGATACATTTTTTAAAACTTAAAAAGTCAGAAAATAAAACATTATTTCAACTGCGCTTTTGAAATGACTGATATTTTATATGGAACACGAATATAAAATATTGATACATTACACCTATGATAATATCCTTATTTCTAAGGATATAATTTTCAAAATATCCTCAAACAAACCCACACATTTCCTACAGACACCTCTGGAGCAAGAGGAGTCAGAGAGACAGGGCATAGCTCCACGTCTCTCATCACTACTTCAATCAGAGCAGTTTTGCTTTTATCTATTTTATCATCATTTTGAAAGGTGCCATAATTTTTAAATTTTTTAAATTATTGCTCTTTGATGTTTAAGCATATTTAGAAATTCAGAAAATATTATATATTAACATTCAATAAGCCTTAGAGAGTAATGATCAAAAACTCAGGCCTTGAAGACAGACAAATACCCAACTCCAAGTCCCAGCATTCCTATTCCTTGACTTGGTGACTCTGGATACCATGGTTGAATCTCACTTTGCCCATCTGTACAACAGTGATAAGAGACTACCCTGAAGGGTAACTGAAGATCAAATGAGATAAGACATGTAAAGTACAGTGACTAGCGTGTAAACAATAAATGCTTACTTTTGCTATTATAATTACCATGCATTTGAGACTCAAATCCTAACATTTTATGCCTTGGGCTTAGGCTCTGGCAATGAAGAATGACAAGGTAAGTGTAGCAACACAGCCATACCAAGCCTCTTCACCTGAATATTATGCCCTTTGCTGTTTCATCTGTCCACAATACCTGAGCAAGTTTTCTTTCACTTCGCATGCATTTTTCAAATGAAAGCATACGCAGAAGCTCAATATGTATGAGAGATAAAGACAGAGCTGCTTACGTTGAGGGAGAGAGTCACACTGTCCTGCCTGCTCAGTCACCATCAAGGATGCTATCTGATTCTTTACTCCCACACTAAGCTCATTAATACAGTGGACACTAGGCTTTTGTTTGAAGAACTCTACTGAAGGAAAACTGCTCAAATACTCTATGTCTTTTCTACAGTTTCCTATGATTACCAGGACTCATTTATTTTAGCAATGCATTCTTTCCCCTCTCTGTCCTGACTCCAAAATCATCGTTAGTCATAACAACATCCATATGATTATTCCTCAAGCTTGAAGGCCTTATTATATTTCATGAATATTCATTTCCATCATCATTACAGTTACATACCAGAAGGGCTATATCCTCTCTCAAGGATATAGCCAACCTCCCCCAACCACATGTACTTACTAGCCATTTATCTCCTACCCTTTCACTGTCTCCACCAATAGAGACTCCCAGTAAGTTTACTCAATAAATTGGAAGTATTCGGTCCTGACTACAATTGATTCCTTTCTTTCCCTCAACTATCTCAACAATAAACTATTACCCTGACTATTCTTTACTGAGCAAACCCTTAATAACCCGTGGTAACCATCACGTTTCTTTTACTTTCCTGCTTATGTCATAAGCTGAAGGAAAAAACAGGAAACCCAAATCTTTATAAACTCACAGCATAAAGTCACATAGTGTACTTTAACCTTGCTCTTTTATTTTTCAACATTCAAGAACATTCCTTCATAGCCCTCTTATTTAACTCCTCATTCCACTGCCCCCTTACCCACTACTCACTTATTACCCACTTTTTACTTAAGAAAAAAAAAAGTTCATCTAATATGAATGACCTCATTTTCCTAAACTTCACCTTAGCATACTAGTGATTCAACTATGCTTCTAAAATTTCCTTTGAGCTCCTATTAGGACTTTACTCACATAATGGTATCTTCTCCGCTGGGTTTCTTTGTATGTCTTTTCTAGTGTCCGAACGGCCATCCTACTGAAATTACGGACTATCACTAACAACCTAATGTAATGGGTTCTTTCCAGTCCTTATTCTCTTTTTATTCAGTGATCCCCAGTGTTAGTGCGTTCTTTCTTCCCTCTTTTGGCTGCCACGACATACTGCCAATTTTTCTCCTGACAAATGACAATGACCCCTCACCAGTTTCTTTCCTTGGCTCTTCTTTCCCCTCTACATTTCAAGTTCTGTCCTCAGTACTCTGCTCTTTTTACTCATGCTCTTGAAAAAGTCATTTTTTTCATCGTTTTAATTACTGCCTCTATATTACTCACTCTCACATACATCACCAACTCTGGGCTTTCATCTCGTTTACTTTTTGATAGCACATTTCTTTTGGATAATTCCAGTGTCATCTCCACATTATTAATTCATTAAAAACTGGAAGTTTTTTCCTTCCCTAAAATGTTCCTATTTCTATCAATGCTACTGCAATTTTTACAACCTAACAATCAAGAGGCCTTAAAGTAATCTTTGAACTGTCTGTCTTCATGATTGCCAATAAATCCCTAGTTCTGTAATAGTTAAATCACATAAAAGAAGCTGCAGGGACAGAGAAAAATATAAAACATTGGTCCTTCTCCCCTCAAGAGACTTAAAATGTAATAATGAAATATAACACATATTGATACAAGTCAAAATAACAAAGATGGGTAGGATTCTGACAGATAACACTATAGACACTGATATGAAACACTCTAGAGGAAATAGCACAAACAAATACAGAGTCAGGAAAGCACAGGACAAATGCAGCAAACAAAACTTAGTCCACTTTGGGATAGAGGGTTCAGAATAGCAAGTGTTACATAAGAGAGAACAACTATAATCTTCTTCTGGGTTTATTCATGAAAAGAAGGGTAATAAAAATATTATTATCATAATAGGCATATGAGCATATTTCTGGGTAGGCACAGCATGGTACAGTGACGAAAAATAAAACATGGGTTCAGGAATCATGGTGCTATAACTATGTGACTTAAGTAAAATCTCTGATCCTCAGTTCTTCAATACAACTGCAAAAATTAAATGAGTAAACAAATGCAAAGCATTTAGTACAGTTTTTCACATGGTAAATATTAGGTTTATTCTTTTAGGTTGAAAGAAAGGATCTTGTGCCTTCGGGAAAGGAGGTAAATGATGGTGAGTTATTAAAGATTCCAAAGTAAGAATTACGCAGAAATTCAATATATAAAATAGATAAAAGCAAAACTGTCCTGGCTGTCTGTTCCTCCCCTATCCTTAAAATCCTAGGGTCCACAGAATACAAGTGGCAAACCATTTACTTAAGATCTTCTGAATTAAAAGAGGAGACTACAGTCAGCTAAGTAGGAAGGAAGAAAGGAATAAATTAGGGGTTATGAGTAATGTGGAAGACTTATATAGTTAGGGTATCTAAAGGAAAAGGAAAAGTACCACAAGCTTGAGGAATCCAGTTAAGATTACACAATATAAATTTCATTTTTTTGTCATTCTTAGCAAAGTTCCCAAGTTCATCTTTGAGAAAAATAGATGGTAGAGTGACTGAGGGCTATAGAGCGACATACTAGGCATAGTAGAACGTTAAATGTCTAGAACAGTACCTGGAACACATAAAAATAGGCCCCAAACACTGAATCAATGGACAGGGTACAAAAATTCTAGCAAATTAACAAGGACAGCTACTTTCAGGCAGAGACTGTATTCTCTACTTCTCTTGCATATTGCATTTTGACTATGGTAATGCTGAGTATAGAACAAGGAGAGATACATGGCAAATATGAAAAAAACTTTCATTGATATTTCAAAAAGAGACATATACATAGAACATGCAAATAAATCTTAGGGAAATAACTAATCCGTAAGAACTCAATACTCAGTTTATAAGAATTTTTCACTGCCAGTAGACTTTAGAGAGAGATTTCAAATATGAAGTTATTTTTAATTATTTGTTCAGGAATTCTCTTATCTAAGCTTTTATAGAAATTTACCTGGATTCTTCTAAAGGATGCTGGACGGTAAGAAGTCGAGGGTGTCTCAGTCGAGTTAACTGTTGGACTCCTCGTTTCAGAGAATCGATGATTTGATCCTTTTCAAATTTTTGATATTTGTCAATAAGCTTTTTATCAAAGACAAAAACAGCCACTTCCTAATAAAAGAATTGTGAACTCATTTTAATCAAGAATATATAAAAACAACAAAATTTTATTTGATTGTCACAACAATCTACAAATAGAAATAACTAAAAACTAACGCCACGGAAATTTGAGCACCATTGTAATATTTCTTTGATATCAAGAAAATTTGGTTTTTTCATGATTAGTAAATCTAAATACAGCCATGCATCACTTAACGATGGGGATACGTTCTGAGAAACGCAACCTTAGGTGATTTCATCATTGTGCGAACATTATAGAGTGTACTTACAAAAACGTAGATTGTATGGCCTACTACACACCTAGGCTACGTGGTATGGGACCACCATCATATATACAGTCCATCGTTGACCAAAACATTATGCAGCACATGACTGTACTTTGAAAGATATGAGACCCAACACCCTCATCTAAGGAGAACATAGGAAAATCTCCATCTTTGAATTCTGGTATCAGAAGTACACATAAACTGTGTGTAATGTGTTGTCCTCTACGTTGTCATCTCTTATTTAACCAGAATGCAAATAAAAGTTAAAATGTTTAAAACTTCAAAATGCTATTCACAATGGCAACCAGAGAGTATACTACAAAATCTTGAAATGCTTTTTGACAGAAAGGTTGTATATGTCAGAGTGCTTGTTCATACAAAAACGCAATTCGTAAGCATCTTTCACAAATTAATAACCTATACTCTTTCCTTCCACTCTATCCCCATCTTGTTATGGGTAGTAACTGGGAATAGTTACCAGTATAGGAAGCTGCTACCTGAATGCCCCTCTTTGAGCGTTATTTTATACTCACAGCTTATTTTACACTATTAAAAGCCCACATTCTCCTTAACTATCTTCTTTTCCTTCTCTCTCATTTACTTAAGGGAAAATAGTTCCCATTCTCTTACCCAATCTTAACAAACCAGTCAAAAAATAGCTATATTGATAGCTGATGTATTACCACTGTATACTATTCAACTATCAATATTCAAGACAGTATCTTTCCATTTTATTGCTTCTCTTCTAATTGTTTTTGCTACATCATGATTATTCTTTTCTCAAGTTAGCCTGGCAACCTAATCAATTAAGAGATTTACTGCAGAATTCCAAACCAATAAATTTATCAAACACAACTTGTTTTAATTTGGAGGCTTCTTATATATATATACATAGTTAAAGATTTTAAAAAACAAGTTAAAGATTTTACTGGATTGAGTCTCTGAAAAGTGATTAACATAAAGGGGCTATTTAGTGACTCAATCTGAACATTCCCTAAATATTTGCATGCTTTTTTGGAATTATCCCTTCCTCACAGCAACCCTACAAGACGAGTTCTTTTCCTCACTTCACAGATGAGGACATTATGGAAAAGATAAATGTATTATCCAAGACCTCACAATTGATAAGATGAAGAATCAAGATTCAAACCCAGTCAATCCAGCTCTAGAGGCCACATTCTTAACTAATACAGCATTTTGTCTCCCAAGAATAACACACGGCCAATAAATATGGAGCACCCCAGTAAAACATGGCATACACCTTCAGGAAAACCACCCTTTGAGTGAGAGCTTTAAACAGCACTCATATGTAAATACACAATCATAGCTCTTTTGATCATTATGAGACAGAGGACAATCAGGAGCTAAGAGCATTATGTAATATAATTTGAACTAAAAACAAATGACCTAGAAGTTCAAGTTCCTATCTCACTATTCATGTGCACAATCTTATTTTAGTAAGTCTTCCGCAATAACACGTTTTATAAATGCATCTAATTTAAATGTGTTTATTTATTCAAGACCTTTTGTCTGTAAAAAAAGATCACGTGAAACAGCTCTTGAGCTCTCGCAGTTTCACCACCCTTACGGAAGAACACTACAGTTCATAAAGAAAAAGAAACAACACAAAATTCTCTCTCAGGCATTCATTTATTGTTTCAGGTCAAAGATGAAAGATCCCTACATAGCTCAGAATAGGTTATCAGCTATCTTAAAAATATTTTCTCTTTGTTCCAATCAGTTAATTAAAATTAACCAATTTCAACAAAGTTGTGACTAATTAACTAACCCATTAGGCCTCACACAACTTTCTAAGAGGAAACTCTTAGCCTGCAGCCCAAAATCATTCATCAGAATAGACTATCCTCTAATTTCTAAGTTATGTTTTCCTTCTACTACTTCACCATACTACTCACTCTGCTAACGCATATTATTTGTGTAAAAATTCTGTTAACTTATATGTATTACAAGCTTCTTGAAGAAAGAAACCATGCTTTCAGTGTCTCTATATCTACCACAGGATCTACACCTAGAAGACACTCAGATGTTTATTGCCTACTGGTTGCCGATAAATACAAGCAATTACTAGAAGCTCTTCATTCTTATCTTGAATTAAAATCTTCTTCAACTTTTCATCATGAAAATTTTCAAACATACAGAAAAGCTGAGGCAGTGCAATCATCCAACATATTTGCAACAACTGTTAACTCTAATTTGAGGCTCTTTTTAATACAAAAATTAAAACAAAATGTAAGCAATACTTGGCACTCATTTATTTATTCACTTCATATTCTTTAAAATACAGTGACAGGGGCTGGTCAGGTGGAGTAATGGTTGAGTTTGCGTGCTCCACTTTGGCCACCCGGGATTCACAGGTTTTGGATTCCGGGCGCAGGCCTACACACCACTCATCAAGCCATGCTATGGTGGCGTCCCACATACAAAATAGAGGAAGACTGGCACAGATGTTAACTCAGGGACAATCTTCCTCAAGTAAAAAGAGGAAGATTTGCAACAGACGTTAGCTCAGGGCCAATCTTCCTCATCAAAAAAGTAAAATAAAATACACTGGCAAAGAAAGTTACCCACTAAAAAGTATTTGTTCTCAATAGCCTACTTTTAAACAAAAAAGGCTCTGAAATAAATTATTCTAAAAACTAATATTTGCCAAAATGGAGGCTGTACCTTTTGATATAGATCTAACTTACAATTTTTAAAAGCTACTTTGCTTATTACAAAGTTGAACTCTTGCTGAAAACAAGATAGTTTAAGTAATAAAACCTAAGTTAATGTATACCAATACATCTAGGATTCCCTAATAGCAGTCATGACCTCCACTGACCTATCCCTCAGAGTCACCAGAGATTGTTTTTGAAACACAGACGTTCCCTGTAATCTCTATTTTATGGACCTTTCATGACTGGCCAGTGGTGACTGCCATGCATCATACTCTTCATTTTCCATGTGATTTTGGGACAATGTTCCTTCCTCAAAATAATAAAACAAAGTTCAAATTTTTATTTAGATTAAGTTAAAAATAAGCTGATTTTTGAGAAGACAAAGAGAGAACAAGATATAACCCTTAAAATTACTAGAGACAATCTATGATCGTTTTTGATCTAAGCAACTTGACTTGCACATTCAGCTTTGCAAAATGGTTCCCTTTATTTTAAAACTTTTAATTTATTATAACTATTTATAATAATTCAATTATGCCTTTGTTTACACAATATTAGCAAGCGTAACCCATGAATATTGGCATCCGGATAACATAATGTAGACTTTGCAATAAGGAAGGGACCATGTCCAAGCCTACATATGGAAGAATGGATAAAAAATGAACAGTTAAATATTATGTAATTTTTAAAATCAATCTTCATTCTCATAGAAATAGTCGTTTTACTGGGGTTGTTATAAAGCTTATAAAGCAGTCAGACAAAAGAAACAGGCCAGCAAAAATGACTTTTAAGCCAAAATAAGACTGAAGCTGCCCTACTTTAAAGAAAAACAAGTCTATTCCAAACCTGGTTACAAGATCATAATAAATGTGGGACACTAGAAGACTACTAATAATTATTAAGTTAAATCCATTTTGATGAGTAGTCACCTAGCAACATAGAATCTTGTATCAAACACAAATGCTTAATAATAATAAATAAATGCTTAAACAGCCCAAGAACCAGGCAAAATTTTTATATATAGTTAAACATACACAAAAACACACCCATGTATTTTTTTAAAACATCTTCCCCCAAAATAAATTCCTTAGCTTGATACAGGAGAGTTAAAAGAAACTTCAAAACGTAGAATTATTCTTCCACTTGAAAGAAAGAGAAAGGTATACAAGTGAGACAGAAACAATATTAAATAAGTGCTTTTATTACAAATTATTTAAACATATTAGCAGCCTTGATGGTTATAATATTGCTATCTAACAGATAAGACAATGGTTTTTCAGTTTTTAAAGGACACATTTATACGCAGCAAACATTTCTCACTTATTATATATATAGTTTGGCCAAAACAATTTCCCTTTAATGACTTGTTTAAATAAAGTATAATTTAAAAATTAGAAAAGCTAATGAAATCCAATCAAGGGCATCTGTCTCAGAAAACTCTCTCAAATATATTCTTTAAAAAGAAGATAAAAAACACGTTTGCAAAGAGTGCCTATGTTTAGACACCCACTTGAATCCTAAACATGCTACTCTATAGAAAGACTAAGTCAGTTACAAAGCTGTCACAGAAATTCAACAGTATAAACCCTACGCCCAACAATTACCTATCAGACATCATAAAAGTTCAAGAGGTAGGGAAGTGGGGAATATTTCACTGAATTTTCAAAAATTAAATAGACCCTCTGTTCAGAATGTCTAAAATTAAAAAGATTAACCATAAAAAGGTTTGGCAGGGATGTAGAGAAACTAATTGCTGGTGGAAGCCTACACTGGAACAACCACTCTGGAAAAACTGACACTGAACAAACACATACGCTATTACCTAGCAATTCCACATCTAAGTAATGTGTCATATACGCCAACAGCACATGCAAGAATGTCCATAGCAATACTCTATACATCAATGAAAAGAAAAACTGCTATGTTCAACAACACAGATGTACCTCATGAACATATATTTAAGGAAAAGGAGCCAAACACAAGAGTACATATCATGATTCCATTTAAATAAAGTTGGAAAACGGGCAAAATTATTCTGAAGTGTCAAAGGACAGGAAAGCAGTTAGCCCTACAGAGAAGGGGAGAGGTAATGACTGCAAAGAAACATGAATATTAGCAATGTTTTCTTGATCTGGACATTGGTTACATAGGTATGTTCACTGTGAACATTTATCAAGCTGTACATTCACTATTTGTGTACTATTCTGTATTAAGTTCTTAAAGATAAGTTTATATTTAAAAAAGTAAATAGATACAATTTTTTACTTCCTAAATGTCATCTTGAAATAGCTTATAGAATCTCTACTGAGATTCTAGAAATAACAATAGTTAGGAACTAAGGGCTGCTTATAAATGAACACTCAACGGGCCAGCCCAGTGGCGCAGTGGTTAAGTGTGCACGTTCCACTTCAGCGGCCCAGGTTTCACCAGTTCAGATTCTGGGTGTGGACACGGCACTGCTTGGCAAAAGCCATGCTGTGGTAGGCATCCCACATATAAAGTAGAGGAAGATGGGCACGGATGTTAGCTCAGGGCCAGTCTTCCTCAGCAAAAAGAGGAGGATTGGCAGCAGATGTTAGCTCAGGGCTAATCTTCCTCAAATAAATAAATAAACACTCAAAAAGGAAACTAAATAGTACATAAGCCTAAACAGTAGCTTCAAATGCTAATAAGCTAAAAGATCTACCCATTTCAACATGTTTACATGTTGTATTTGGTTAAACTTATCTAAATAATAACTTTTAAAATCTTAATGGCTTATCTTATATACAAAACTGGCCTACGAACTTTATTTAACTGCAAAAAATCAACTGTACACTTGTCTCTAAGATTCTCAGGAATCCTTAATTTCACTTTCATAAATTATTCACTATGAGGTGTGTCTTCAACAAATGTCTTTCAAAAACAGTAAGAACCAATAGAAATTGGTTTCTGGACACATGAAGCCAGAATAATAATACGGATGTCCAATCAGGTACTAAAGTTACCAGGCACACAAGTAAATTTTTATTTACCAAGTTTTTCTTTATCGTGCTGCATCCCAGGTTTTATAAATATGCACTTTTTTGTGATCTATTCTTTAGGCGTTGTTACTATTCTTCTCAAAGGCCTTCAAACATTTAGGTTAAAAAGTCAAAAACTGTACATGATCTGAAAATTATAATTCACTATGGACTAATGTGAACTTGAAATAACCCTAGGAAAAAGTACACAGATAGCCCTTAAAAGAGTATGGGAACTTTGGAAAATACTATTTATATAAGGATTCCTTTGACTTGGAAATATTGTATTTTTGTTGTTTTCTTAGACAATGTTATATTATGATACTTTTCTTGAAGACCATGTAAAAAAAAGTGAAATGTGTTTGAGAAGAAGGAGAACAAGATGTAAACTTTAAATACAACGGCTTAAATATCACGGTATTTATTTCACTGTCATGCAGCAATAGAAAATACTTTCATATTTTTAATTATTAAAACTAGGTATGAGAATTTCCTAGCCCAAAGTCCCTAAACCAATGTTTACATCAAAGTCAAAGTCAAATTGAAGGTCATATCTTCTGCTATAAAACACAACTGGAATTAAGTATACTGTATGCTAGAGCAAGAAAGGTTGACAGGGTAAGAAAGATGCCCGCAGTCTCAATGTTCCTTTATGGGGGGGAAAAGGACTAAGAAGAACATCCTTTTCCCTTATTTTTCTCAGAAGAATATTCTTTTCCATTATTTTTCTCTCAGTTTCTCTAAGATCAGTGCTGTCCAACAGAACTTTCTGTGATGATAGACAGTTCTACATCTGCATTGTCCTATACAGTAATACTAGCCACATGTGGCTATGGAACTTTTGAAATATGACTAGTGCAACTAAGGAACTGAATTTAATTTTATTTAATTTTAATTAATTGAAATAGCCACACACAGCTTGTAGCTACCATACCAGAAGCACAACTCTAGATTGTCTATTTTCTATAAATTCCCTTTAATAAAAATGAAGCAAGTGAAAAAGAATTAAAACTTTTTCAATTAAGGGAGACATTAAGGCTTCAATGCCAAGATGGTTAGAGACTTAGCTATTCCTTAAGGAATTAGCCAGTGTCCAGATAGGATACTCAGTTCTGACCCCTGAGGTCTGAAAGAGGCAAAGGAAGAAAATTCAAAACCATATCCAAAGTAAGCACTGATATATTTCAAAACTACCTTTTTCCTCAAAGCAATAAATTTTCTGGGAAAAAAGAATGTAGTAAAGTTTCCTAAGAGAAGCCGGTTCTGGCAGTCAGCAGCTGACAACTGCTGTATTATTGTGCAATATCTAATCAATTATCTGTTATCTGTGTCTGGTTCTCATATTCTACGAGCAGCAACAGAAACTTCAGCATTATCAGAGGATTTCAGCATACGAACTACTGATATAAATACAAACATTAAGAACTTCTTTGGTTAAGCACAAAGACAGTATTATGTCACATAATTGATTGCAAAAGCAATTTGTGCTAGTGTTAGAGGTTGGTTATTTACATAATTTCATGACCTCATTGATATCTTTTTAAGTAGTCAATACTCAAGAAACTACTTACTTTTTAGATGAGCTCTTGGTGAATTGAAAGAGAATACAATGTTCAAAAATGACAAATCAATCAGCATTTAAGATACAGATCAACTCTGGACTTAAAGACTTCCAACCAGACGGCAATTAAAATAAGATTTACAGGTCAGGTACAAACCACATACCAGCAATCTATCAAAGGACCAAGATTCCTACTTCATAAAAGGATAATCAAAGCCAATTCAGTCTTTAAAATACTTGTTTGGGAAATAAGCTAATTTTGGAAAAGTCAGAAATAATACATACCCACAAGTGTATGATTGTGACAGTCATTGGAAAAGGTATATTAAGTTCCATATGTCTTAGAATCCATATGTTTCACTTGTAGGGAAGTAAAAGCACTTTTGGAAACAATGATTTTTCTTTTTAAAGAACATATTTCTACAGAGGTTTTAAACCTGGAGATTTTTCAATTCTTTAACAAACCAACAGAAAGCTCTTGGTAAAATTTAACACTAACAATCTGCCATATTTCTAAGAACCCTCTGTTGGTCTCTTAAGTCAAATTAAAATAGAACTCATTCAAACTACTTTTCACTAAAACAACAGTTAGTTTTAAAATAACTTTGAAATCAATAAACCCCAAAACACATTACTGACTATATCTCACAAATGTATCCCCGTCTAATAGTAAAAACTATCAGGTTAAACATAAAAGAATATTATAAAAGTCTGTTCTCTAGAAGGCTATAGAATAAAAGAGGGAATAAGATCGCACTAAATAGGAATACATTTAATGTGAGAAAAATTTAACTGGGTTTGTCAATATAACTTATTGACAAATATAAAAAGGAACATGACAATTTTTATTCTACAACATACGCTTGGTTAAATATTAAAATCTAATATACTCATTTGCTCAACTGACATGTTTATTTTATTAATTAAGAAATTAAATTACAAAGTGAGATGATATATCAAACAATATATTTGCAACCAGGAGATTCAGAACAAGATCAAAGCATTTGTTTTTGTATGACTTCATTAGACGAAATAAGCCCTAAAGAACTCAGAACTTCCAGCATTTCTTAACATAAAAATGCACATGTGAGGGGCTGGCCCCGTGGCCGAGTGGTTAAGTTCGCGCACTCCTCAGCAGGCAGCCCAGTGTTTCGTTAGTTCGAATCCTGGGCGCAGACATGGCACTGCTCATCAGACCACGCTGAGGCAGCGTCCCACATACCACGACTAGAAGAACCCACAACGAAGAATACACAACTATGTACCGGGGGTCTTTGGGGAGAAAAAGGAAAAAATAAAATCTTTAAAAAAAAAAAAAAAAATGCACATGTGCACATTATGGTACTTATTAGCATGTGTGTTTTTTCCAATTGGACTCTGAATTGAAACTTACCTGTTTTGTTGACTTTTTTGTGCCATTAAAAATCTTCCAAGCTAGCCCATTGCCACCACTGGCAATGTGTCGACCAACATCGAATTCTCTAGTGACAGGATTTCCCATTACAGCACTAGTGACGTCAGCTGTTACTTTTGTAACAGTACTCTTCAACTTATTAAGCATGGACTCCATGGCTGCAATATTGGGTAGTTATAGTTACCTAAAAACACAGGGGGATAGAGGAGCATTGATCACTTGTTTTTACTTGTTTAAGCACTTATTCATTATTTAGTGCGAAAAGCTTCAAAACAATCCCACAGAGATAAAAGCTACATGTTTATTTTGTCTTCAGAGAACCCACTACACATGAGTGTAAATTTAAGCCTAAGAACCAAACTGTTCCTTTCAATGTCAACTGTTAAGGACCAGGAAGACATAAGACATTCACACTTGACACTGACATGAACGTTGCTCAACTAGGTAACCTGGACCCTTTAAGACTTAAAGTGGTATAGAGATCTGAATCTTTCTTCACACTAAAAACCACGATATAAAACCTGAAAGAAGTTAATACTATACTAAGCAATAAATTTATATTTTATAAAAGTTTTGTTCACTATTAAAACAATTACTGTTGAAGTATGAAATCATTTGAGAATACTTTCTAAAAGAAAAGCAGTGATGGCAAAAGGACAATAAATGCACAAGCAAGTAACAGGTCATAAAATATTTTTAAAATTCACATACTTCTAGCCATGATGGAGGAACAAAGAGTAAACCTGTCCTCTCACTTTGAACAAAATATATGAGACAAACATTTTCAGGCACTGAACAGGCAGCACAGGCATGTGATCCAGTGACAAAGCAAACTAACAAGGTGAACCCTTGGATTGCCCCAGCTTTCTGCCTAGAAGCACACCGCAAACCAGAGCAGAGGGCAGAATTCCAAGCAGCAGTCTAGCTGAGTTAAGAAGTTGAGGAGACAAACTGGAATTCAAGTACGCTGAGGTGGCTGGGAGTTCTGGAATAGAATTTCAAAGAGAAGGTGAAACAGGAAAAACAAAATTTTTTTAAGAAAAAAAAGAGAAGGGAATTATACTGAAAAAGAGCTCCAAAAATATGCATGGGGGCCCCTTGATATGCTTTGTTGAATACTAAGATGCACATACATAGTGTGAAACACTACCAGGTCATGCAAGGACCAACTAGAGAGCTGTGAGCTGAATAGCTGTAGAATTCACACAGGGCTGCAAATCATTTAATTTCTCACCAACTAGAGTGCAGAGTCCTCATTGATCACTACAGGCAATCAGCAAAAACCTCTGAAGGACCATGCCTTACTGGTAGGATAGAAGTTCTTAGAGTAAAAGCTAATCTAAACCTGCCCTAACAAACTTGAAGTAAGCCTCAAATGATCAAACTAATCATAAATTACCTAACTTCCTATGAGAACAAAATTCAATACTTATGAAGACAAAAATTTTTCACAAACTAAACAACATAACATTCACAATTAATAATAATTAATAATTATCAGACATGCCAAGAAGAATATGTGAGGGGTTGGCCCAGTGGCGCAGCGGTTAAGTTCGCACGTTCCACGTCTCAGCGGCCCGAGGTTCGCTGGTTTGGATCCCGGGTGCGGACATGGCACCACTTGGCAAAACCCATGCTGTGGTAGGCGTCCCACATATAAAGTAGAGGAAGATGGGCATGGATGTTAGCTCAGGGGCCAGTCTTCCTCAGCAAAAAATGGAGGATTAGCAGTAGTTAGCTCAGGGCTAATCTTCCTCAAAAAAAAAAAAAAAAGACTATGTGATCATAATCAAAATCAAAATCAGTCAATAAAAACAGACTCTAAAATGACAGATTATAAAATCATCAACAAAGACATTAAAAAGCCATCATATGTCCAAGTACCTAAAGCAACGCATGAACATAATGAAAGAAAATAGAACATAAAAAAACCCAAATGAAAATTCTAGAAATGAAAAATAAAATATCACAAATAAAAAATTCAGAGGATGTAATTAACAGATTAGACAGCAAAGGAAAAAGGTTCATGAAATCTGAAAATAGAGTAAAAGGCTGAAAAAAAATGAACAAAGTTTCAGTGATCTGTGGGACAAGATCACAGTAACATACAAAACTGGATCTCAAAAATGCAGGGAAGAGGGAGAAATATTATTTGAAAAGATAATAGCAAAATTTTTCCAAATTCAATGAAAACTATACAAAGTGCCAAGAAATTCAGTGAACCACAAGCAGGATAAACAAAGAAAATCATGCCTAGATATGTCAAATCACATAGCTGAAAATCTGTGATTAAGAGAAAAATCTTAAAAGCAGTCAGAGAGTGGGGCCAGCCGCATGGCCGACTGGTTAAGTTCTCTCGCTCCGCTGTGGTGGCCCTGGGTTTCAGCGCTTTGCATCCTGGGTGCAGACATGGCACCACTCATCAGGCCGTGCTGAGGCGGCGTCCCACGTGCCACAACTAAAAGGACCCACAGCTAAAATATACAACTATGTACTGGGGGGACTTGGGGAGAAAAAGCAGAAAGAAAGAGAAAAAAAAAGCAGTCAGAGAAAACAGGCAAATCACATATAAAAGAATAAAGGTAAGAATTTTCGGGACCAGCCCCGTGGCCGAGTGGCTAAGTTTGCACACTTCGCTTAGGCAGCCTGGGGTTTCGCTGGTTGGGATCCTGGGTGCGGACATGGCACTGCTCATCAGGCCACGGTGAGGCAGGGTCCCACACGCCACAACTAGAGAAGTACCCACAACTAAAATATACAACTATGTACTGAGGGAATTCGGTGAGAAAAAGCAGAGAAAAAAAAAGATTGGCAAGAGTTGTGAGCTCAGCTGCTAATCTTTAAAAAAAAAAAAAAAAAAAAAGAGAATTTTCCCCAGACTTCTCATCAGAAACTACCCAAGCCAGGGAACAACTGAATGAGGTCTCTAGAGTGCTGAAAGAAACTATTAACCTAGAATTCTATGAGCCATGGGGGGAAAAAAAACTTTTAAAAATAAATGTGAAATAAAGATGTCTTCCAGGACAACAAAATCTGAGAGAATTTGTTGCTTATAGATATTTCCTACAAGAAATATTAAAGAAGTTCTTCAAACAGAAGGAAAAAGATACCAAATGGAAATCTGAATCACAAAAGGTATGGAGGACAATGGAAATAAAAATTATACGAGAATATAAAAAAACTTCTCATGTTATCTTTAAAAGACAGCTAATCATTTAAAGTAAAAATGTATGTGCTTACAATATATGTAGAAGTAAAAACTATGACAAAACAAACTAAGGACAAGAGAGAGGAAATGGAAGTATATTTTTGAAAGATTCTTACATTATATGTGAGACAGTATAACATCATTTGAAAATAGATCGTGAGAAGACATATTATAAAGCCTAGAGTAATAACTAAAATAATAAAGAGATATAGCTTAAAAAGCCAACAGTGAAAATAAAATGGAATCTTAAAGTTAACTGAATTAATACAAAAAGAAATAGGGAAAGGGGGGAAAAGGAACAAAGAACAAATGTAACAAATAGAAAACAAACAGCAAGATAGTAGACTTAAATCTAACCATACAAGTAATTATATTAAGTGTAAATGATTTACAATTCCAATTAAAAGGCAGACTGTCAAACCAGATAAAAAAGCAAGACCAAACTATATGCTGTTTACAAGAAACCCACTTTAAACCCACTTTACAAGATGATTTAAAAGTAAAAGAATGTAAACAAATACCAAGCTGGAGAGGCTGTATTAATAAAAGGCAAAATAGGCTTCAAGACAAAGAGGGCTATTTCATAATGACAAAGCTGTCAATTCATCAAGAAGAGATAACAATCCTAAATGTGCACACACTCAATAAGAGAGCTTCAAATATATGCAGGAAAAAGTGACAGAACTAAAAGAAGAAACAGAGAAATCCACAATTATAGCTGGAAATTTCAAGAGTTCTCTCTCAGAAACAGGTGGACAGACAGACCAAACAGACAGAAAATCACTAAGGATAAAGAAGACCTGAATAACACTATCAAACGACCCAACCTAAAACACTCTATTTATATTTAAATTTATAGCTTTAAATGTTTGTATCAGGAGGAAAAAGGTCCAAAATCAATGGTCTAGGCTTCCACCTTAGGAAACTAGAAAAAAAAAGAGAAAGTTAAATTCAAAACAAGTAGAAAGAAGGAAATAAAGAGTAGAAATCAATGAGATAGACTAAATTTAATGTAATTTAATACTCCGTTTAATAGAGAAACAAAAAAGAAAAATCAATGAAGCCAAAAACTGTTTTTTTAAAAAGATAAACCTCTAGCTACATTAAGAAAATTTTTAAAAAGAAGACACATATGACCAATATCAGAAACAGAGGAAATCCTATAGATTCGTATCCTATATGAAACCTTTAGATTCTAAATGAATAAGATATTACATTATGAATGATCTTATGCCAATTAATTCAACAATTTGGATGAGATGGAAAAATCCCTTGAAAGCCACAACTACCAAAATCCTATATATAAAGGAAATCCAATTTATTAACTACAACCCTTAGCACAAAGAAAACTCTTGGCTCAGATGGCTTCACTGTTGAATTCTATCAAACATTTAAGGAAGAAATAATATCAGGTCCATAAAAGCTCTTCCAGAAAACAGAAGAGGATAAAACACTTTCCATTCATCTTATACAGTGAATATTGCCGACACCAACATCAAATAACAACATAGTAAGAAAACTGCATACTAATATCCCTCATCAATATGTAAAAATCCTTAACAAAATATTAGCACATCAATTCCAACAAATCCAACACCACGACCAACTGGGATTTATCTCAGGAATACAAGGTTGATTTAACACTCAAAACCAAATCCATGTAGTTCACCATTTTAACTGAATAATGGGGAAAAGAAAACCTAAGATCATCTCAATAAAGGCAGAAAAAAATTTTGAAAAAATTCAATACCCATTCATAATAAAAACTCTCAGCAAACTAAGAAGAGAAAGGAACTTCCTCAACCTGATAAATGGCATCTTTGAATACCTATAGCTAATATTATATTTAAAGATAAAAGATTGATCTCTCTCTCCCTAAGTCTGGGAACAAAGTAAGGATATCTACTTTTACCATCTCTATTCAATATTCTAAGGGCAATCCAAAGCAATAAAGAGAAAAAAATAACAGCTACCTG